TTTCCTGAGGAGCCTCTGCATTACATAAGACTATAGGTAGAGGCCTGAACCACATCCAGATCTTCAGAGATGGGAAATTTCCACTTGAATGGACAAGCAGACCAGCCTGGAGCAGCTAGAAAAACAGAAGATACTTCTTGATAGAAACACCTACACGAAAAATACAAAACAATAAAGGCAGTCCGACTGTTACTACAAGTACAAGTAAGCTGCTTGTCCAGGAGACATCAAGGCAAGTGGTTGGGTCCCCCCAGTGCAAATCCTCTTCCAAGACTAAGAATCAATGGGAATACACACTCTGATTGGTGACCATGCACGTCAACCATAAGGGGAAGTAAGGGAAAAACAGCAATGAAGCGGCGAGCTAAGCCCACAACGTTCAATAGATTCCTGTGAACCCGGGTGGAGACCTGGTCGGCCAGCAGTGTGGCAAGACCTGGGGACTCTTGGGCCCAGAGTCAGTGACATATCCACAGTGGACTAGAGTGGGGAGTGAAACATCCAGCTGATGAGAGAGCGGATAGATGCAAGAACACCCACACTTGCAGATAATACCCACTTGACCTGGCTTCAATGACTGGATGATCAGAGCTCAATCTGAAGAAGAAAGAAGAGGAAAAAAGCGCCATCTGATACAATTTGATGAACTTGACCTACACCTATGGATGCAGTAGCTCAAAAAAGGAAACAAATCCTTACGCAAGAATCATTCTCACCCTCTCCACACAGAGAGTAGACAGGGATGAGCAACTTGGATATTGGCTACTTAAAATGGGGGGGAGTGGGCTAAAAAGGCAAGAAGTGACTGGCTTACAAGCTTTCAAGAGGGAACCTAGATCCAGAGAACGTGAAGGAAGGTAGAGTCTCCAGTGGGTAGTATAAAACCTGTCTAGGAAGGGCTGATGAAATGAAATGCAGATGGGTCTCTTGTTATCAGGACTGATTGTGAGGGTTGGAAATTTAACAGTGGACATTTTATAGCAAGGAGGGGAGTGATTAACTTTTCATTCTAGGAGTGGAGGACCCTGGGACCATCAATGGAGAAGAGCCGAGAGCGGGACCCTACCCAGAGAAACAGAGATGCCTGAGATAGAGACAGAGATAATGACGTGGAGTGATGAAGCGACTGGGGACTTTGGACCCAGGGAGGGAAAGGGACTGTGGGCCGAAAACTGGGGGGAGGAGGGAGAAGTGTAGGGGGCAGGCTTCTGGGATATACCCTTTGGGTGGTTGATGATGCATGGAGGGGTTTGGAACCATGGCAGTGTGATGATATACGATGGAATAAATGTAAAACTAAAGTTCTCCCATGTAAACTATCATATAATTCACAATAAAACATTTAAAAAAAAAAAAAAAGTGCTGCGAATTGCAGAACTCTTGGAGTCATGGATTTATATTCCACTTCTGACAACTGCAAGATTTATTTTAGAAGGATCAGCATGAGGCTGATCCCTATGAGGTGAAGGTCAAAGGTATCCCAAATGTTCAACTGTCAAATCTCCCAGTGGTAAACTGTTATACCACTCCATGGAATCCTGGGATACTTGCTAAATGCAAGGTGAGCAGCTCAAACTCACCAGTTGCTCTTCAGAAACCCTATGCAGGGTTGCTATGAGTCAAAACCCATTTGATGGCACTTAACAACAACACCATACCACTCCATAATCCCTGGTATCAACCACTACTCTCGCCTCAACATCCTCTCCCATGTCCTGTGTTTTTCAATTCACTGCAACATCTCCTAGAATTCATGAGCTGTCAAGGTAATGACTCACAATTGGAGGCTGGCAAGTCCCAAGTCTACCATTTAGACTTAGTCAGAAAGCTTCTCCTTACTCACACCAAATCACAAGGCTGCAGAAGCTGGCAAAATATGGTCAAGTCACAAACTCAAGTCCCAAAAACCAGAGGTCAGATGAAGGCAAAGCTTGGTTAGTCAAGCAAAGGCATGCACCACCCTCACATCACCAAGATGGTTCATTTTATACCAGCATGATGGCAAAACAAATCACACCCCTGGTTAGATTTCCAAGTTTATACGATCATAATTAACACTATTACCAATCAATCATTGACAACTGAATCATATAATCCTATCAGCATCTTCCCCCACACTCTCTCATCCAAACTCATCAGAAAAAAGTCATTTAGTGGGAATTACAAAGAGACATATTAAATTATTATGTTTTTAAAAATAAAATTTTAATTGGAATATTTAATTAAATAATTTTTAAATATATGGCTAGAAAATATATTAAATAATTCACTATACTGCAACAAGCTACCAAGTGGGAGAATATGTTCAGAAACTATATATCCAACCTCTCCCCTTTTCCCCCCCGCCCCAAACCAACTGCCATCAAGTCCATACAGACTTAGCGACCCCATAACAGGGTTTCCAAGGTTGTAAATCTTACTAGAGAAGAAAGTCTCATCTTTCTCCCATGAAATGACTAGTGGATTTCAACTGTTGACCTCGTGGTTAGCAATCCAGTGTTTATTCTATAGCGTCACCAGGGATTTCCATGTATTCAACAAGAATCTAATAATCAAAATGTACATACACCTTTGGCAACTTAATAACAAAAGGCCAATAACTCATTATAAAATGGGCAAAGGACTTGAATAGACATTTCATTAAAGAGGGGATAAAAATGTTTAACATTTGTATCCACCAAAAACCACTCCATTGAGTCAATTTCCACTAATAATGACCTACAAGGAAAGAATGGAACTGCTCCACAGAGTTCCCTAGACTATAAGTCTTTACGGGAACAGACAGCTTCATCTTTCACCCACAGAGCAGCTGGTGAGTTTGAACTGCCAATCTTGAGGTTAGCAGTCTAACACTTAACTCACTATACCACCAGGGCTCCTTTTTAGCCACCAGAGAGATGCAAATCAAAACCACAATGAGCTACCATTTCACTTCCACTAAGATGGGCAAGAAGGAAAAAAAAAAAGAAAGAACAGAAAATAAAAAATGTTGGCAAGGATATGGGGAAGCTGAAACCCTTACCCACTGCTAATAGGAATGCAAAATGGTACTGTGGAAAACAGTATAGCAGGTCCACAGAAAACTAAATATAGGACTATCATGTGACTCAGTAATTTCAATCTTAAGTAAATACCCAAAAAGATTTGAAAGCTTATGTACAATCAAACATATCATGGGATTTGGTCCCTCAATCTGAAGGTTTGGCGTCATAGTTTCATGGGGCATCCCAGTTAATTGGCCTAACAACACGTACTTCATGCTCTTCTGTACCTCCTAGTTCATCACAGAGTGCCTGGGGTTTTTAAAGTTTGCAAAGAGTCGTCCAAGGAACAACTGGTCTTTATTTGCCAAAAACAGAAAAACAGAAAGTCAGCAATAAGGATGATCCTGGTGTGACGGTTTGGGCTAATAATGCGTCAAGACTGCAAAGTCGTTTGAACTGCAAGGTTGGTGGTTCAAGCTTACCAGCTGCTCCTCAGAAACCCTATATAGGGTCACTATGGATCTGAATCAACTCGATGGCACTTAACAACAACAACATGAAATGTGTGGCTACTTGCTTCTATGAACAACTGCCTCCTTTGCATGAGATCAGGGGGCCTGGAAGGTGTCTAGCTACCATTACTGGACATTTTGATCAAAGATTCCACAGAACAATTTGGATTAAAAAGCAGAAAATACAGAACAAAATTTCTAATTCTCATGAACTCTAGACTTTTGGGAGTCATGCAGAGAAGATGAACTCTGAACCTACTGCCCTGAGATCATCTTAAAACTTCAAACCAAACACATCCCCTGAAGTCTTCTTAAACTGAGTAACAGTTTGGCCTGACAAGTAAAAAAGATGTGCCGTGAGTATTACGTTCTTTTAAGAAACAGCTATATGGAATCAAGGAGTCCTAGTGTGGCACTGTAGAATAAGCACTAAATTGTTAACCACTAGGTCAGTGGATCAAACCCACCAGACATTCCTCAGAAACCCTATAGAGGATCATTACGAGTTGGAATTTACTCGACGGCACTTAACAACAAAATAGGGGTCAAACTGACAAGAGCAATGAGATTAGACAGGAACTCTAGATGGCAGTCAATGAGGGAGGAACAACTCAGAAAAGGAAGGTGAGAGTAGTTGCACAACTAGTATACTGTAATCAATGTCACTACATTATAAATACAGAAACTGTCGAATTGGTATACATTTTACTGTGTATATTCTCAACAACAACAACAAAAATAAGTGAGATGTAAAGGAAAACTAAAGGAAGAAGTTAGTAAATGTTTACACTATAATGTACCATCAATTTTCAACTCATATTGACCCATGTGACACATTAAATTGCCCCTAGGGTTATCTTGGCTGTAATCTGTGCAGAAACAGACTGCTAGGTGTTTCTCCTGCACATTGACTGGGTGGGTTCAAACTACCAACCTTTTAGCAGCCGAGAGCTTAACCATTACACTATCAAGGATCCTCTTATTCCATAACAAGACAGTACAAAAATGTCTCAGTATTTTATGATAATTATCAATTCTTAAATTATATAACATACACCTATAAAATTTTTTAAAGGTGGTACAGTAATGTATGTGCTCCTTTTTATTAAAATATTAAATAAGATCTAGGATTAAGATATATATAATAGGTGTGGCACTGTGAGATAAAGCACTAGACTGCAAGGTTGGCAGTTCAAATTCACCAGTCACTTCTTGGAAACCCTATACAGGGTCGCTATGAGTTGAAACTGACTCAGTGGCACTTAACAACATATATGTACAAAAAAGTCCTAGTGGGACTGTAGAATAAGCAACGAATTGCTAACCACAAGGTCAGCAGTTCAAACCCTCCAGCTGCTTTGTGGAAGTGAAAGATGACGTTTTCAGCTCCTATAAAGAATATAGCCTTGGAAACTCTATACAGGGTCACTATAAGTTGGTGTTGACTTACTGGTAGTGGATTTTATTTTTATATGTATTGAATGTGATACATGTAAGTACATACCTGTAATAACTCGAGGGTCATGGGAATATTCTTAAGCTCCTTCAGCAAATCCAATGCTCCAGCCTGTAAAATAAAATAATTTTAAACAATTCTCAAAATGTTAAGATAAAGACTAACGAGCAATTTAAATTTATGTGTTTCGATCCGTAAGTCACTTATTGCTATTGTTGTTGGGAAATGCCAAGGAGTCCGCTCTGACTCATAGCGACCTTGTATAGGGTTTCCATGGAGTGGCTGGTGGATTTGAACTACCACCCTTGTGGTTAGCAGTCCAGTGCTTATTCTACAGTACCACATCAGGATTCTAGTTGCACCTTAGATGGTCACAAAGAATCTGTATTCTGCCAATAGTTGTACCTTAGATGGCTTTTAAGACTCCAGTTGCTGTCACCAGAGTAGGATGCAGAACACTGTCATGTCAATTGACACTGGCACTGTAGGAAAAGCACAGGGCAGCTAACCACAAGGTCGGCAGATCAAACCCACCAGGCACTCCTCGGAAACTCTATATAGGGTGGCTATGAATTGGAACAGACTGGACAGCACTTCACAACTCCTCACTTATTGACTATCTTGTTATCTGACATTGCACATTTACAAAAGTGAAAAATCTATTACCCAGATATTTTTACACATTAATGACATTGGTAATTGCCATAACAACTACTGGCAATAATGAATGCCAAGGTAAATGCAAGAGTAACACTGACCATGGTTATATGACAACTTAGCTGGGCCATGATTGTCAATGGTTTGGCATTTATGCAATGATGTAGTCATCCTCTATTTTGATCTCATGTGATCATCCTCCCATTTTCACATAATACCAAATTTTATGTAATGACTGGGTCTTTGGAACCTAACCAAGTTAATTAGTGACGTCTAGGTGTCATGTTTTTGGGTTTTTTTTTAAAGTTGCAACCCAACAAAGGATCATAAAATCTACTCATAGGTTAGGATCAGCACCTATAAAGCAACTTATGATAGTATTGTTTTGTGAAAGTTCAACAGTAATTGTTTATATGCATGTCCCAGGAAGGAAAATGTAAAATATATTTCTTACTGTGGTAGTAGTATAAAACAATCCAAATTTTCATGGGAAAACCAGCCAATTTTCAAATTCGTTTGGAATTGCTAGGGTGCCTAAATAACCAAAACAATCTTGAAAAAGAATAACAAAACAGGAGGACTCACACGTTTTAATTTCAAAGCATATTACAAAATTATAGCAATAAAAATAGTGTGGCAGTGATACAAGGATAGACATATACAGATCAAAGATTGGACTCCTGATGTGATGCTGTAGGATAGGATAAACACTGGACAGTGAACCAAAAGGTAGGTAGTTGAAAACCCACCAGTGTCTCCTCGGAAACCCAATTCACGGTTATTATGAGTCAACATTTAACAATAACAACAGATCAAATAAATAGAATTAAGAAGCCATAAATGAGTTCATATATCTTTATAGCCAACGGATTTTCAATGATCTATTCAACGCAAAAAGAACAGTTTCTTCAACAAATAGTGCAGAGACAAATGAAATGCATACCCATACCTTATACCTTAGCAAAAATTAACTCAAAATAGATCACTGATCTAAAAATGGTTAAGGAAACTTTTAAAAAGTTGCCACAGCCCAGAGTCAGTGACATAGCCACAGAGGACTAGAGTGGAGAGTGAAGCATCCAGCTGATAAGAAGAGAGGGCATATGCATAAGAACACCCACACTGTC